ACCAGCAGTTAGCGTAATGGCTATGTCACCTGGACTCCCATATAGTCAACCACAGTTTGAGTCCTGGACCCGGTGGCTTAAAACTCACGCCAGGTGCGCGTGCATGCACGCCCAAGATCCCGAGAGGAGAATGGAGGAGAAGGGATTGCGGTGTGGCCATCCCCCCGGGGGGGTGATTTCTTGCTTTCTGTCTCTCTGTCTCTCTCTGTCTGGCCAGCGCACAAGCCCTATAGCAAAAACAAAACAAAACAAAACAAAAACAAAAACAAAAAACCTTTCCAAGTATATTCTTTTAATTAATTTTTAATTAATTAATTAATTAATTTAGAGAGGTTTTCGCTATAGGGTGCGTGTGCTCGCCAGAAAGACAGAGAGAGACAGAGAGACAGAAAGCGAGAAATCACCCCCCGGGGTGGGGGATGGCCACGTCGCAATCCCTTCTCCTCCATTTTCTTCTCAGGATCTTGGGCACACATTCACACGTGCCCAGCATGAGTTTAAGCCACCGGGTCCAGGACTCAAACTGTGGTCAACTACATGAAAGTCCAGAGACATAACCATTACGCTAACTGCTGATTCCAACAGGTACGTTCTTGAAATCTGATAATTTAAGCCATTGCAAAATTCCATCCAAATTGCAGGAAGTCAATACTGAGAGGGGTTTCTCAGATGTCATTCTGACTCAGTGGAAAAGAAGGTCAAGATCAATGGGTAATGTCTTCATAGGAGTGGGAAAGACCCTCTGGGTCTTGAGTGCCATCTTGTATTAAACTGATCTTCCCATATTTTAGAGTTGAGGACACTGAGGCCCTGGCAAGGCAAAGTGACTTGCTCAAAATCAAGGAAGTAGTAGGTATCAGAAGCAGCATTAGACTCAAGGCTGGTCTGAGTCTGAGTCTTGCCCTAATCTGCTAGCCTACAGGTTCAGGTAAAAGCTTCTCCCAAGGAAAAGAATGGAAAATGAGAATTCACATTTCTGGAGCACCTGGTCTAAGCTGGAGATTCTTTGTGTGATACTTCAAAACATTTATTTTAGCCTATGAGCTGGGCAACATTATCCCATTTTACAGATGAGGAAATAGAGTCTCAGAGAAGTGATATAATTTATTCAATGTCCTAGATCCAGAGAGAGATGTTGGATCCATATCCTCATCCCTGTCCTTGTTGATTATTTGAACCCAGATTCCAGAGTAAATAGTTGTTCACTCTGTGGACATAAGAATTAATCATCTCTGCTCTTCCACCTCCAGAACTAGCTATGAAGCCTTGGGCAAGTGACTTTATCTCTCTGGGCCTTTGTTTTTCCATCCTTTAAAGGAATAATGAGTATATATTCCTCATAAAAGACCACGAGGATGAAATGAATACAAGTATGCAAAATGATAACTACAGAGCCTGGTCCATGATGAGTGCTCATTTAATGTTAGTTTAAAACAAACAAATGTCTGCACTCTATGGTAGAGGTTGAAAGACTGGAGAACATAAAAGTATTAAAAATTGTAATGGACACTAGAGATAAAGTGGAAAGAGAGTGTGAGAGGGGAAGAGTGTAGGAAATTTGGAGCATAGAAAAATGGAGGGTAAGACACTTGTGGGACACAGATAAGGTTTATTATCTGTTGACAAGAATGTATATGGTGGTCTCAACTGGGCTGGACTGAGGTGTATATCATGCTGGGTCTCTTCACAATATAAATGATGTACAGCGATTTAATATATGAATAATAATTTAAAAATATAAATGATAATAAAAAAATATAACATTTATAGCCACTCTCCAGTGCCCCAAGAAGGCAGAGTTGCTGGTACGGCCCACGCTGGGCCCAGGGATGTTGCAGCCAGACTTGGCCTCCTGGCATCTTCACTTCGTGTTTTGGCACAAGGCCCGGGACTGAGGAGTCCCCATTCCTCTCTCCTGTCAACTCAGCAGAACAAGCTGTTTCAAGGGAAGGTGGTTCCCCTTGAGAAAATGTTCTTGCACGCCCTAGAGGCTCTTGCCCTGCACGTCGACAGTGATCAGCCCGGACAAGGCTTGGGCCCCACCCTGCACAACCATTCTTTTCAAAGTCTGTATCCTGCCTTGTCATAAAAGGCAGTGTGTGGTCTGAACGACTGTCGTCTTATGGCAGTCCTTTTTTGCTGATAACTTTTAACCAACTTGTCTTTTTGTGCTTCAGTCCTAGGCCCTTTAAAATAAGGTGGTAATGAACTACCAAGGTTGTGAGAAATCTGGAGACACGACCTTCCTACCTCACTCCCCAGGTCCTCCTCAAATGTCTGCAATCTGACCTATGCCCCTCCACGCACACTGAACGCACCCTGGCCAAGGTCTCTATTGTAAATGTAGGTGATGACCCGCCTGGCAGCACTGGGAACACTCTGTCCTTACATGTGTTCTGCCACTGTGTTCTCTGATTCTCTTCCTCCTTCTCTGGCCACTCCTTCCTATATTCTTTTCTCTCTTTTTTGGAAAGGTTTTTGCTATAGGGCACATATGCTCACCAGAAAGACAGAGACAGAGAGACAGAAAGTGAGAAATCACCCCCAGGGGAGATGGCCATACCGCAATCCCTTCTCCTCCATTCTCCTCTCGGGATCTTGGGCACACACACACATGTGCCCAGAGTGAGTTTAAGCCACCGGGTTCAGGACTCAACCCCCAGTCAGCTACATGGAAGTCTAGTGACATAGCCATTATGCCAACTGCTGGTCCCGGTTCCTGTTTTCATCTGCTCCAGTCCTTAAATATTGCAATTTCTCCAAGGTTTGGACCCTACACTTCTTTCTTCTTACTCCCCACCATCTCAGGGGGTTCTTTGCCCCTTGCTTCAGGTGTGATTCCTGTATTCATGACTCAGGGCTCAGTCTCTGTCCTGGAATATTTTCCTGTTCCTAGACTACCATTCCAGTTTCTCACTGTTGCTGTGCTTCTGGCAATCCTGCAGCTCCCTCAAATTCAATGTGCCACCAACTGCACTGTGCACTCCTCATCCTCGCCACCAATCACCCAGTCTCAGAGAATTGCACCACCATTCATTAAGTAGCTCTCCAGGTGCCAGGTACTGTTCTAGGTACAGGGGTACAGCGGGGAATGGAGCATCATCTCTGCTCTCCTGGCATTTATATCCGCCTCCCCAGATGTCTAGGGGCCAGGGGCTCATCCCTTCCCCCTCACCCTCTGAGTGCAACTGGACACCAAATCTTGTCAGTACTGCTTTTTTTTGAGAGGTTTTTGCTATAGGGCGCGTGTGCTTGCCAGACAGACAGAGAGAGACAGAGAGACAGAAAGCGAGAAATCACCCCCCAGGGGAGATGGTCACACTGCAATCCCTTCTCCTTCATTCTCCTCTCGGGATCTTGGGCAGGCACGCACATGCGCCCAGCGTGAGTTTTAAGCCACCGGGTCCAGGAAGCGAACCACGGTCGACTACGTGGGAGTCCAGGGACATAGCCATTACGCTAACTGCTGGTCCCTTGTCAGTACTGCTTTGAGAATAATGAGTCAACCCCCCCCCCCCATCTTCCGTGC